AAAAAACAAAACAAAAAAAACCTTTCTTCACTCCCAAATTGTCCCCCTGGTGTGTTCCTTTGCTCTGTCTTGTTACGTCTTGCATCTTGCTACATGTTCTGCATTTGCTCAGAGCAAGTGGGTGCTAAGGAATTTGGTCTGCTGCTCCTCTGGGAAAGTCTGGTGAGCTGTTATAAGGAGGTGATGAACAAGGCTGTAAACCACAGGATAAATGAAAACGATACATAAACTTCCTAATATTTGTAAACATGTTCTTTAACATACCATAGGTAGTTTCTGTGTATATGTAGCATAGCAAAAGAAACTTGTTAAGGTATAATTAATTGGTATGCATGCCTTTGTAAATATCAGCCATCAGAAGAAACCTAGAATGAAAGGCTGTGAAAGATCCCAGGAATGATACTTTATTGATTAAAGGCCATGAAGCTTCATCAGGAGTTTAGTTATCCTTACGTAGCATTACTTAAGAATGCTGCCATAGTAAATTTCTGAAGCACTTTACCTGTTACAAAGAACGATTGTAATTTCCTTTTCTTATTTGATCTTACCCTGGCTTTAGTCAGGAACACCTGCTCGGTTAGAAATGTATTTGGTGAGTATGTACACAGTTGGAGAATATGCCCTGACACACGCCGCCTTTGGCCTGTATGCTGGAGTCCTAAAGAGGCAGACCATGTTGATGAGCTTGGTGCCAGCATGGTGCACCATTCATCCTGACACGTAATTTCTGATAAAGAGGGTCACAACTGGGAAATACCTCAGATTCTACTTGCTTCTCTTCTCCACATTATTAGACATTTTCCCCCTCTTGAATTTTATAAGCACACTCCTTTTAAAACCCAATTAATAATGAGTGCTGGGATTTGATGTAAAATTGCATATTTGTAACTGCAGTGGCACTGGTTTTCAGCTACTCTGTAACAAGGAAAGCAATCCTAACCAGCAAAAGCAGACTTGTTTCTGTGAAACATCACAGGCATGTGAAATTGTTCAGATATGGAGATATCAGGAGTGACATAAATTGGAAATTTAACCAAAAATCTTTTCCATCAGTGAACAAAGTCTATCTTAAAGTGCTTCTTGCATTTTCAGATCTTTCTCTTCCTTTTTCCCAAAGTCACATTATAGTTTCTGAGGAGGGACACACTGGGAAAACTAAGCACATATTTAAACAATGAAATTTAAGGTGTAAAAATTCTGCATTTGTGACAAATTTGATGTTTGCTCTTTTCTTGATTTAAATAGAGCATTCTAAAAATATTACCCCTATAGGAGACACATTTTTATATGCATGTTATTTTTGTTTACAAAGTATGGGCTAGTAAAGAGTGAAAATGACCTTGGCTATTGTACTTATTTATTGATAGAAATAATAGCATCTTCATGTCTGGATTCAAATCTCTACTTATCACACAACTTCCATACATTTCAAAGAGAAGACTTGGATTGAATGATAACAGGAGTCTGGGGCTTCCTGCATTCCCCTGTGTTTGTGTTCATACAGAATATGCAATATTCTGACTTGGCCATAATCTATAATTCCTGGCTGTTATTCTCAGTTGCAACTATAAATTCTAGATTAATGGTTATAATTTTGGTAAGGCATAAATTAAAAGTTATATGTTCATGCTTGAAAGGAAGATCATTAAATATTCATTATTACCACTCAAATTAGTTGTCATGCTTTATATAATATTTACCCATGATCATTTCACTAGTTTGGATTCAGCAATAAGTGAACAGCAATAGATAGCTCATAGCACCAGAGGACATTTTTTTTGTTGGGGAACAGGAAGAGAAATGATTTTAAAACCCATTTGACATATTTATGCTGACAAAATATTTAAAGGAATTACTGTGTTGCAATAAACATGTTCGTATGTTGGAATAGGATTGTGGCTAAATTTGCTTCTAGCTGTTTAATTACTCTATTACAATTGTGAAAAACAGTGCTTCTTCAAGTTGTTCCAAGGAAAAAAATATAAAATATAAAGGTTGAGCTATTTNAACCTTGCCATGAAAAAGCACTTTTCATTTTTGTAAGTAGGCATTGAAATCTTGCTTCTTCATTGAAGCTAGATTGTATAATTTGTTAGTTTTCTCCATCTGGTAACACATCCTTAAGAAAAAAATGCCAAAAGTAAAACATGAGACGGATTTTTAAATAAATGTTGTGGATGGACAGATATAGAGATTGTGTTTTGTCAGTGCATTTTGGGAAGATATGAGTAAAAATAAATAAAGAGATATTTTAGTGTAAAAACATTTTGCTTTTGTCTTCTACATACCTTGGTATTCCAGTTCAGTTATGTGAAGATATTAGGGCAGCCACATATTTTTTTGGATCACATGTATGAATCATTCGATACTCCTCAGTAATTTTAAATTGGTTCTTTTCCCATGGAAAATAACCATAAATTTGATTCTGATCTCATCTTACTTTAGAGCTTTCTGTTTTAAAGAGTCAAATTGTAGCTGATGAACACATTTTGCATTTTTTCACATTGCATCTGGACTCTTCATAACGATGGCTTATTTTATTTTTTCTGCACAGAGGAGAGGAAAAATATATAGGTCCATGAATCAATCTAGATAATGGGGAAGGCTGACTGTAATAAATAATACGGTAACAACCCTAAACTAATGAGCTGTTGCTAAGGTACATTTCATAGGCTCATCCTCTATATAAAAAGTCACTAATAACCCCTTGGTGTAATCAGATGATAAAGCTTTGCCATAAGGCAACACCTGTGCAATTAGAACTGCAGATTCTTTTGCATGTTTCATTAATTTCAGGATTTTGTAAAGGCACAATGACTACACTAATAATCTAGTCTACTTGACTCCATGTCTACTGGAAACAAAGTGTCTAATTAGATAAAGGTAATTAATTAGAGATAAATGGAGCTAATCAGGCTCAGTTAACACTAATTCTCTGAATTAAGACATTTTGGGACACCTCCTATCCCGCTGACTTTGATATTTTGCATTAAGAATAGGTTTAGAGGAGTCAGAAAATACTGGCATTGGAGAATTGAGGTCTTTTGATGGCATATTTAGGCATCCGAAGCTAAAGAAGAGTTTTTTTTTTTACATTGTGCTATTTCACCACCTTTCTATAGCAGCTTAAAGAATTCACTTTGTAGTTATTCCAATCTGTGCTTGTCTCCATATAAATTTTAATAACCTTTGCTATCATTTTTATTATCTGTCTAGCCCACCAATGGAAGAAAGCCACAGGTTGTTCTATCTCTTAAATAAAGACTTAACTTGTTACATTAAGGAAATGTCAAGACTCATCAGCCTATATCCTAAAATTCTGATCCTTTAAAGAGAACAAACACCTAAAATTCTGATCCTTTAATTCCGATTCTTTAAAGAGAACAAACCTCTGCTTTGCAGTGTTGGACTGAAAATTCAATGATGTGGGGAAAGAGCATGGGCTTTGAAGTCAAAAGACCTGAATTCAAATTCCTGTTCTATTGCTTACTAAGTGATCTTAGAAAGTAGTTTACCTTCTCTAAATAAAATAGAAATAATATTGATTCACATAATACTAACTTTACAGAGTTGTCATGAATATTGAGTAAGGTACCTATATTTAAAGATTGGTTGTCATTACCTGTTAGGCTGGGATTGAACACAATCCAGTACCATATCTCAACTGACTACAAGGTTAGGTGTTAAAAACATTACATTTTCATCTCAACCCCATGATAATCTGTGAGCTGCATTTAAATGTGTAGAAAGGGAAAAATTAAGAATTTTCTCCCAAATAGTCCGTCAGAAAAAAAAAATCCCCCAGTTTTTCAGTTGGAGAGTGTGAATTTATCTGCCTTGGTTTTCTACATTGAAATAGTTATCCCTCTTAGCAAGTTGTTCCCAGTCCACAAGAGAACGTAATTGAACTGTGGGATATAGCTTAATATAAAGTGGACATTTAAATCTTTCTTCTAAAGTGTCTCTGAGATATGCCTCTTGCTCTTTCTGGTCTCTGTTCTAACTTATCTGGACCACTCCTAGATTGCTCTCACAGTTTTCTAACTAGTATCCCTGCTTTCATTTTTTTCCTGTAATTCATTGTCACCAAATTAATCTTCATAGGACACATTCCTCATTCTCATCAAGATCATAAGCAGTTTGATTCCTTGTTAAATTAAGATCCTATCACATAAGCAGCCATATCTGGCTCTATATTATTTATACAGCTTGATCTCCTACTGCTCTCCCTGCCAATGAAGACTTTACTATTCTTCACCACACTCATCTTTGTTTTTATGCACTTATCCAAGCCTGGAAACCTCTCTCTTCTTCTTTCAAGACTGATTTCAAATCCTGCCTTTTCCCTGATGCCTTCCTTGGAACTCTGGCCCATCAAGAGCATTCTCAGTCCCACATGCCCACAACAGCTCTCAATGCATCATACCTATTAGCCGTGGCTCCAGCAGTGATAGGTCAGTGATCCTGCTTCCCTTGTCTTTCCAACACTGCTGAGATGAGATGTCTGGGGCCAGGAACCAAATTCTCCTTGTGTGCTTGGCCTTCCTCACCATCCTTTTCCTCCAAACTCCAACTTTCAGAGTGTGGGCCTCCAAAGGACACAACAAAACAATACCTGTGTAATTGATTTGTGAGCTGTGGCCTGGCCAGGTCCTTGGGCAGTGAGATCTACATGGCTTTTGTAGTAACCCTGGGCTTTTTGCTGACTTTGGGCCGCACTGAGTGCTGGGCTGAGTCTTTGTGTTTAGAGATAAGATAATAACCTTGATGAGAGACCTGCTGTATGTCCCTGAGGCTTTGTGTCTGGCTTGTGTGGTATCTGCCTTTTATAACATGCAATGAGAGAATGCCAGGAAATGACTGTTAGTATTTCATGACAATCAGAATGTCTAGCAAGCCATCATACTACCTCTCCAGCAAACATTTCAGAAAGCGCTGGGCAAGCAAGGGCTGATTAACATGTATTAGAGCCTGTGATAGTTAATTCTTTTTTTTTTTTT